CACACCTCTCAAGAAGGAAGTGTAGGAGGTTTAGTCCTCCATAATGCCAAGATGCTTCTGGAAATCAACCGACCCGCAGACGTATTCACTGACATTGTGCTGGCTTTACTAAGTTCAATTAAAAATATAACGAAAAGGACAGTTACGCAGTTAATAGCGTTTACTTGAATAGCACAAAAGTCTGCAGAAAATTGTTCCTCGAGCGAACATGATAGTCCAATTAGTAGAGCAATAAATAATTCCGTATTATCTAATTGTCTTGTTCGGCAGACGACGTTTCCATCCTAGTTTAAGGATGTCAGCTTGAAGAAATTGACAATATATCGGACTCGACTGATTCCGAATAGACGTGGCGGGGAGCCATAGTGGGTGGAGGAGTCTTCGTGGTGATCAATGAAACTACTGGAGCCGTAATGGCTATATGATTATTATAAGGAACATAATGTGTGCTAACGTAACGGAGAGCGGGCCAACTTCGATCATTCACCTTTTCAAATAAGGTTTTCCGTCGGCTAGTATCGTACATCCCTACCAGTTACCACCCATAAAACCTTTATAATAACCTGTCCCGTAAGACAGACTGCTTTGGTTAGGCGGATTTTTTTGGGTACCATCTCCCGATTATTACCGATCCATCGTCCGATGCGACTGCGGAAACTACGCTCCGAGTTTTAAGGATGAGATAAAATTCGTCTTTGAAAAAAATGACATTAACGGAGGAAGCAGCTTATTGGCATAACGTTTCGGATTTTGCCTCGAACCCATAATCAGAGGCAGAAATAGGGCAACAAAGAAAGAAGAACTGTAGAATTTTGGGCGTATTTGATGGTCTCGAATTCAACCCCCAGCGATGACCGCGAATGCTGCTGATTATTGTAAGCATGTGGTCGATCTCATGAAGTGTCAACCAAAATTCTGAAATGCATTTTTGACTGGGAAGACTCGCGTAAGCGGGGTTATAATGATGATTATCGTGTAGCATAATCCCGTGATATTTCAGACACGCCATGATGTTGGCTTTTGAATGCACTTCTTTTCGAACTCCGAAAAGTCGCAATCGATGAAAAATGACCGCAAATGTAGCATGCATTTTCTCCAACAGTGTTCGATGCCACTATAAATCCAAAAAAATATTTTGCGGGAAACATGCAAAAAAGTGTTTTTTTTCTTGTGCTTATTATGCAGCAAATCATGTCGTCTTTAAATCTTGTACTTGGGGACAGGGTATCTGCTTGATATTGTGGAAATTTTTAAAACTGTGCGATGCCAACTCGAATGTCATTTTTCCTTTAATAATGCTCCCTATTAAGTAGACAACGTAGTCCACATCCTTTGCGCTCCTCATGACCTCTATATGGTATATTTTTATCAGCGCAAGGGAATGTATTTACACAGAAGGTATGCGGCTTGTAGACCAAAAACCCTGAACAAAAATGAAATGGTAGACTGAGTTCAAAAATATTCGGAAGTTGAGTCATTTTTTGAAACAAAGAGATACCTTTTCGTTGAGTACAGTGTATACAGAGGACACGATTTGCTACCAACTGAGTACAAAAATAATGCTTTGTTGAGGATTACTTTGAAATATAGTTGAACTTACAATGACATCGATAATCAATGGAAGAAATGCCTAATACTTAAGTAGTCACTTTTTTCCGAATCTGGTCTTTTAGATGGCCGAAGAGATGTACGTTGAAAAGTGAACGCGTTGGCGTGCCTGAAATAACACAGGGTTACTTTGTAACATTATCATCAATACTGCAACCCAACGCATTTGAGAATTTCGACGTTTCGTGAGATAGGTTATTGGCTCAGAGTTCTATAAATACTGTTTCCTCTGTGCCTCTATTAAGCCTTTCCGTCACTGTATCTGAGGTAGGTTTGAGAGGGAATCCGAAACGTCTAATCGACAAACCCTTTGTTTCAAGGATCGTATCCTCTTTATCTGAACTGTTCCGTGAAACTCATCTGTTCGCTTCTATTGACAGAAATTCCCTTCTTGGTTTCAAGAAAGTCCGTCTCAATATAAATAGCCGGCATTCATTGCAACAGGACATCATGCATGGTTCGGGCGCAGCGTACAGTAGGTGGGCTAACTCATGAAATGTCAGTCGAAATTTCGAAATGCGTTGCCGTTTCGAAAAGACTAATTAAATAGGGTTGTAAAACTTACCACCGTCCAGCATAATTCTAAAATTATCCAGTTACCTCAGGATGCCGGCTTTCGAAGGAGCTTACTTCCGACTGCATGAAAGTACTTCACTCTGCAAAAAATGACTACTTATGTAGCATGCACTTTTCTCACTGATTTTTGATGCCTTTGAAAAGTATATTAAATATCACGGAAAACATGCATACAAATATTAATTCTTTCATTTATTCGGTAAAAAATCACGTCTTCTTCCAATTCTATACTCGAAGGAAGAGTATAATTCGGTTTCAAAAAACATTTCTAATTCCCGAATAATTTTGAACCCAACCTGCAGTTGTACTTGCATTCAGGTTTTACGAACTACAAGCCTTATATTTTCCGCGTACAGAAAACTATACATTTCTCTACGGTATTCAGAGGGGATTATATGGGGCTCATAAAATTTAGCAGTGTATTTAAGCCGTATTGTTAACCTTACAAGTCACATTGGTAAATGCAGAGACATGACGTTTTATGAACGGCCATTTAACGGTATTAAAAATATCACAGTAAGAAGTTTTTTTTTCAAACTGCATTATACTCCTCCTTCGAGTATAAAATTGAAAGAAGACGCAGTTTTCTACCAAATAAATAAAATAATGAATATTTTATGCTTTTTTTCATGAACTCAGTGAGAGAATTGCATGCCACTTAAGCAGTCATTTGTTTCAGAGTAAAGTTCTTGCATGCAGTCGGAAATAAGTTCCTTCGAAAGCTGGCGCCCAAAACTAACTGGATCATCATAGACTTATGCGGGACGGTGGTTAGTTTTACAACCATACTTAATTAATCTTTTCTAAACGAGAACGCATTTCGAAATTTCGACTGACATTTCCTGAGTCAGCCCACCTACTGTATGTGGCCCATTCCGTGAGGCTAATGTGGGTGGTGCTAGACGCGTCTGAATCCAGATCCACTGTCCTACGTGATAGGCATTCACTTTTAGGAATACACCCAAAACCGGCTACACATGACTTGACTGTAGATGTATTGGGCAGAAGTAGAAATGACAAGAAGTCGGTTTAGCGAAAAACACTATCCTTTTTGATACAGACTTGTCATCGAAAACTCTTTGCAATGTCACAAGCTAGAAGCGGTCTGCTCATGGTCCATGCTTATATTACAAATGATTTCCTTCACCTTGTGTGCTTTGTAAATTCTGCTCGTCGAATATAACCGATAATTGCAGCGTTGGATAGTTCTGGCAAACTTCGTGTTTGTAGCCGCACCGTGTGAATCCCTTCCGTCGACCGGGTTTTCTTCCGTCTATCATCCACCAAAAGGCGTTTGTAGGCTTCTCTGCGAAAGTCCAATAAAAACCTATTATTATTATTCTTCGTACTTATTTAAACTGCCAGTGCTTAGTACGGAAACGGAAGCAGCTACAGTAGATGTGCTAACTCATGAAATGTCAACCAAAATTTCGAAATGCGTTCTCGTTTCGAAAAGATACATTAAGTAGTGTTGTAAAACTAAACATGATGCAGCATAAATCTATAATGATCCAGTTACCACAGGGTGTCGGCTTTCGAAGGAACTTATACTCGGCTGCATGCAAGATCTATACTCTGCAAAAAATGACTACGCAAGTAGCATGCAATTTTCTCATTGATTATCGATGCCCTTGAAAATTCAATTATATTTCATGGAAAACACGCATAAAAATATTCATTCTTTTACTAATTCGATAGAAAATCACGTCTTCTTCCAATTTCATACTCAAAAGAAGAGTATAATTCGGTTTTAAAAAACTTTTCTAATTCCCGAATAATTTTGAACCCGAACTGCTGTTTCACTTGCATTTAGGGTTTCAAAACTACAAGCTGTATATTTTCCGTGTACGGAAAACCATGCATTTCTCTACAGTGTTAAGAGGAGACCATATGAGGTTTATAAAATTTAGCAGTGGATTTGAGCAATATTGCTAACTTTACAAGCCACATTCGTAAATGCAGATACATGACGTTTCATGAACGGCCATTTAACGGTATTAAAAAATCTCACAATTAGAAACTTTTTAAAAACCGAATTATACTCTTCTTTTGAGTATGAAATTGGAAGAAGGCATGATTTTCTACCGCATAAGTAAAAGAATGAATATTTTTATGCATGCTTTCCATGAAATATAATAGAAATTTCAAGGGCAGCAAAAATCAATGAGAAAATTGCATGCTACTTAAGTAGCCATTTTTTGTAGAGTATAGATCTTGCATGCAGCCGAGAATAAGTTCTTTCGAAAGCCGACACCCTGAGGTAACTTGATCATCATAGACTTATGCTGAATCATGATTAGTTTTACACCACTACTTAATGTATCTTTTCGAAACGAGAACGCATTTCGAAATTTTGGTTGACATTTCATGAGTTAGCACATCTACTGTAGATGCTAAAATTTGGGGTCAGTTAAACACTTTTGTAGAAGTTGAGAAGACTAGAAACATGTATCTTTGAGTTTGAGCATCGGCGTCATTTCGGTTCTAGAAACGGCACCGGCTGCGAATTCAACCTCGTCCCCTTTTTGCTCTCGTCATGCATGTTAGTGGCATTTACAACATCGCTGTTCTGACAGTATTCTGAGGACATTCTGGACCCCGAAGTTTCGTAAAGAATAATTTTTGTGGCTCAATGAGGTTGAGTGAGAGGGGCAAAGGGAGGAGACGACATCTGTTATGCCACCATGAGCCAGTGAATTCAGGGCTGGCGTGCGTGCGTATGCCTACGTCAGTCGGAGGAAGGGGGGAGGGAATGAGAGCAAAGCCAACCGTCCCAAGGATCAGGTCAACCACAGGAGACGTGTCAACCAATGAGAATGAGACTACACGTCCGGGGTCTTCTTGTTGGCGTATCCGCGGCGGCCGGTCGACCGCGTCCCCTTTCGATTGACTATTTAGGGACGGACGTGCACGTCCCCGTTAGTGTCGTTACTGTTGCCAGCTCGTCCGAGGGCGATAGCTGCACACCAACTTTTCTTCGAATAATGCACTTGATCGAATGCGAGGACTGTCATACGTCCAAGCATTCGCTTCGCCAGTGGGCCTCACACCTAGTCGATCGACACGCAGTGCCCTCCGAATGGCCAAGTGAACGGGCTTCGCGACTCCCTGCCAATGTTACACACAACCCCTACACCTTTGTTACCGAATCGAAAAAGAAGCGTAAACCAGGAGCGATTCCGCGGCCCCTGAATAGCTTTATGGTAAGTTCTGGCTTGCTGCATTCACAAGTTAGTGTCATAAACTACATTCATTTTTTAACCCAACTGTGGTAAAAAAGGAGCGACCTTAGTGGGATTCGAAACCACGACACCAAGAGGAAGGGTTGAGTACAGCCAACGCTCTAGCCACTTAAGCTACGAGGCTACACCGCGGCGCCCTGAGTTTGGTTACTTTTGGGTCAAGTCGCCCACCCAGCCTACTGCGATGTATGGAATCCATGAAATATGATACAGTAGGCTGACTGCCCAAGCAGGATTTCCGAGGTAATCAGTCCAGATCCACCAGATGACTGTCAGGAAGTCGTTCATGGTGGCCAACTTACCGTATCAGATGTGGTAAATTCCATGCGTTCTAGTAGGCTGGACGGGCAACTTGACCCAAATGTAATCAAACTCACCGTGTCCCGTGGAGCTTCGCAGTTCAGGTGGCTAGAGCGTTTTCTGTACTCCAACCTTTCCCTTTTTGTCGAATCTCACCTAGGCCGCCGGAATTTTTAAGTCAAAATAAACTATTCAAAATTTCCCAAGCGTCCAATCATAACTATATGTAGTGGTCAGTTTCGAAGCAAGCAAATTGGGGGACTTCCAAACAGAGGGGCCAAGTTTTCCGAACACGCGCTACGTTTTGTAGATTTTTTAGATTACATTACACCGCGCTCTGTTTGGACTCAGCCGTTACATTTGCCCTCGAGTCCCGACGTCTAGAATATCTGGTTGCTCAAACTTTTGAGCACTTCAAGCTTAAGGGGCACTCTCGGACGAGTGAGGGATTACAGCCGCACGGATATAGCTCTTGGGTTATTATTTCGGTTTCAACTTTGGTCGGATCTTATTTCGCAACTGTACTTGCAGTAGACACGACCCAGCGTAACCCCTAACCCCAACCACAAATCCCTAACCTTAACCCTTAACTCTGACCCCTAACACCAACCCCTAACTAACTCCTAATAGATACGGCTACGAAATAGCATCTTGTCCCAACTTTTTTACCTGACCGCTAAGGATGGTTGCCTGAAATTACGCATATTGCCGGCGTAAATAACAGTAACTGGGAAGGGTGTGCGACACCACATTAATTCAGTTGCATGCTGTCATTGAAGCTACAGTTTCCCTAGACAGCACGAACACTGCCTAAACCCAATTTTCAATAAATCTTTGCACAGTTGTTCGCTCAACATATTCGCCGAAACATCCTGCAGGAATTCGATGGCGTCTCCAACGCCGACCTGAGTCGCTACCTTGGCGAGCTTTGGAGTACCCTGCCTCGGCCAATCAAGACCCAGTTCGATGAGGAAGCAACACGTCTCGGGAAGCTCCACCAGTTCGAGTTTCCCCACTACAAGTATCAGCCAAACAAACGCCTTCAACCAGTCATCCCGACAAATGTTAACGAAACAATGTCAGGCTTGCATGCCGATTCAGGCATCGATAACACTCCTAGGATTAATCTTCCGTCTCTAACTCTTAAGAAGACTCTTTTGACGCCATTTGACTCCGCCTACGTCTCCTCCTGCGAGCTCAGTCCTTCGCACTCTCTGTCAGCTTCCCCACCCATTTCTACCTCACCTGCAAAGCTTCCCTTTATCCTGCCCTTTCATAATTCAGCCCACAAACGACCTCCATCTGATTACGGCGGACGTGGGAGCGGTGAATTCTGCATGTCACCACCACCGCGTCAACGCTTTATGTCCGCCGAAAACGGGGCCCCGAGCACCATGAACCGTCACACACAACACCCCCCGGCGCGATCTAACTCCTGTTGTCCCCTAGCCTCCCCCGACTGTCTGTTAAAGCCGTGGCAGCCAACACCGACCAGTCGCGAAGCCGTGGTACCAGTAGTGGTTGTTCGTGGTTCCATCGTCAAGGAGTTCTCCATGACTATTAAGTTAGACGAGGAGACAACAGAAGAAACATCTGCAGGGGTGGCCACACCTAGTCGGGAAGACTTTGTTTTACGACCGTCAAAGACTGAAGAAGACAACAACCTCGAATTAAAGCAAGAGGAAGAGTTGGGAGAGTCTAAACAGGCGTTCTGGTCAGACCGTGAAAAGTCCGAGTGGCAGTTTGTTGGAGACGCCCACTTAGTCCCCATACAGACTGAGGATGAGGAGGATGAAGCCTCAAATTTTGACTCGCTACTAGCTGGCATTGATTTAAGGCAGTTGCTCAGCCAGTCAGTGGATGAGTTGCTGACTTCTGTCGATTCTGAATGTTGCAAAATGAAAGAGATGACAACAGATGGGGCGGGCACCTCCTCTGGCGGCTGCAGCGCGCTCTTTGATATGACCGACATCCCGTTATCCGAACTTCTGACAGATGATTCGGAGAGTTTTGACTTCGGCGGAACTCTGCAGTCGGATGGTAGTACCCTATCTCCCGTGCTTGCATAGCACTGTCTTTCGTTAACTTTCACAAGCATACTATATTTCTTCGACGACAGACTATCATTTTCATACTGCATGCAAGCCAGCTTTGCACTTTTACGTCTTTTATTTCCCAAATTATACGGCTATCTTTCTATAAAGTTGAGTATATGCTTACAAGGTTTTTGTTCGACTGGTTGAAACTGAGCATTGAGAGTTTCTCTGTCGCCTGTAGAGCCATACACCACAACCTAGAACCTAGATTGATAGTCACTACAGCTTACTAAGTGTCCTACTTACGTCCAAGTACCTGTGAAATGCGCCAATGGTGCATAGTGATGATATCACGGCCACATTCGAAACTCCCGATCGTTAGTTCAACAACAGTGATCTGCAGAACAGTCTACCGCATTGTTGCACACCTTGCCGTTAACAAACTGTAGGCAGTGATTTTGAATAAGCGAATTTTGAAAATTGTAAAGAAACCGGGAAAATGCACGTACTGTTTCCAAGGCAGACTAAATGTCCTAGATGCATAGCGTAATATAATTGGCTAATTTAGCATGCGTAATCATGGTCGCAGCGAAACAACTCGCACTGACGCATTTTTAATTCCTGATGAAGACGGTCATGCATCTGTCGGTGTTTATGGTTCGGTTTCTTCAAAGGATCTCTTACTCGGACGGAGTCTGTTCACCAGATGATCCATTCTAGTTCCAAATGCCCGCAGTACCACTGTACGCACGTTATGTAAATCAAGTACTGCAGTAGGTAAGCTAACTCATGTAAAGTTAACAATGTGACTCAAATCCACTGCGTAATTTTATGAACCCCATATGTATGGTTTTCCCCACGCGGAAATTATACGGCTTGTAGTTTGGGAACCCTGAATGTAAATGTAACGGCGGGTCGGGTTCAAAATCATTCTGGAATTGGAAAAGTTTTATAAAACCGAATTATACCCTTCCTTCAAGTCTGGGATTGAAAGATTGAAAGAAGACGTAATTTTCTACCGAATGAGCAAAAGAGTGAACCTTTTATGCATGTTTTCTATGGAATATAATTGAATCTTTAAGGGCATCGAAAATTAATAAAAAGGCATGCTACTTAAGTAGCCACTTTTTAGGGAGCATGGTTTTTTGATGCAGCCGAAAAGAAGTTTGTTCGAAGGTCGGCGTCCGGGGGTAACTGCATTAATATAGAATTATGCTGTACGATGATTGGTTCTACAACCTTACTTAATTAATCATTTCGAAACGAAAACGCATTTCTGAATTTCTGTCGAGATTTCATGAGTTAGCTTACCTAATGTAGATGGCCGCTATTGCACTTTCTCGCACATGCTGGAGCCGAGCTGTCAACACCCCTTGTTTGAAACCGGGATGTGTTGTGTTGGTGGGGCGTAGGCCGTATGCAACGCGCATGGGCCAATTGCGTAAATCGCCTGACAACCAGCCTCATGCGGGGACTGTGTTTACCGATCCTGCTTTTCCCGCAGTCAGGATAGATAAGTAAATGACGCTCCCGTGTGACCGACTGTCCCCGATGCTAGTCGATGGGATGTGGGCGGATGGCAGGACGTTTGACTTAGACTCTCGATTAACAAGCGAGTGGGTGAAAAAAGCTCGAGTTATTCAAGGCGCGGAATCGTGAATTGTTATCGATTACGTCAGTTAAACCGAAGATGCGTTTTTATTATTACATTTTGTCTGTCTGAAGGTCCTTTCTGTTGGGAATACAAACCTAAGCAGGATTTAGGTAACCGTTGTACCATTTCGTAACTGTAAGGATAAAAACTTTTTACAGCAATCTATGGAGAGGTTAGTTTCTGGCTTTAGTCTACATTATTCATTGCCAAAATTACCCCGGCTGTCTTCTCCTGGGATTCAGAGAGGGGGATTGAGAGAGATGTCACTTATTTTCAAAAAAATACTTTTCACAGCGAAAAACCTAAACTCTCTGGTCCAGAGAGAGGCGGAGCAAATCTCACCTGATTGTCGACTTCATTTGCTATCGTTTTGACAGTGTCGTCAATTAGCAAAACCACCCAACGAAAACACTCACATCCCGTCATGGTCCGTAGGTGAATGAAATGGGAGATGGAGGTCCATTTTTAAGTCCACCCCCAAGGAGGAAAATCACTCGCCTCCTTTATTCCGCAAATGCAAGCATCCGCTACATTTGTTATATGTTTCTATGTGCTCTCATCGAGTGCCCACTCACTTTATACGCGGAGATGTTCAAATAACTTTTCCTAATCGCGCTCACATATCTTGTCAGGACTCCTCAGTCTTGACGCAAATCGCGGGCCTACATAAAGTGTGGAATACGCCTCACATTCAAAAACTTTAATTGAAATTCCCCTCAAGCATATGCCCTGATTCACATATTTGTAGCTTCCATTTTTTGTTTTAACCATAGCAGTGCAATCTGAATCATTTAACATGAGTACTTCTCATTGAAAGTTTCCTTTTGACTTCAAAGTGCATGTTCGGAAGTCGCAGTTCGGGCCAGTAAGTAACTTTTTACAAATTCCCGATGTTCGGCTCGCAGTCGGGTTGCCGAAGTCCAGCACAAAACCATAAGCGGAAGCGAAATATGTCAGAAGGTGCATTGGATGGAAATAAGAGTATTGAGGCGGAGTCGTCAGAGACCAAATTGTGAACCACGGTTTGGCTCCGTCTACTAGATGTCAGGGAAAGAGAGGGTGAAAGATACCTAAGTAGGAAAGGCACAATGGCAGCCCCACAATTGATGCAATATCCTGGGTCCCTCCTGCTCCTTCTCCTCCTGCTCCTCCTCCTCCTCCTCCTCCTCCTCCTCCTCCAATTCTTTGCACTCCAGAATGTTTCTTTCAATTAGGCTCAAGTGCAGGCCTACGGTGGTATTCCTGGGTATCCGAATACCCAATTTGACCAATAAAATTGGGACCTCAGTTACTCAAGCACGCATTCAGCCAGCCATGCCCTGAAAATCAAATTAGCACCAGCAGTTAACAGTTTCTGGGGTAAATCTGATCCTCTGTATTACTATGAGCTACGGCAGGCGCCGACAAACCCAAACCAGCTCGCGTTTCAGTTTTCGCCGTTTTGGCTGTCTGCCTCTTGGTAGCTTTGAGACCCGTTAGTGTTCGCCAGCTGGCAACTCACGACAGCATCGAGACAAGGAATTTGTTGCGAGAGTGTAGTTAATCCTTCCAAACAAGTGCACCATGACCGTTGTTCGGATTCAGAAAGGTTCCGGGGTCGGACACGGAAATCTGAACCCCACTACTGCAAGTGGCTTTACTCCGAGTTCCAGTGTCTCTGAATCTTACCATAACCCTCACAACCCAATCCCTCCTAGACTTAACCCTTATTCCAAACGTAACCCTGACTCAAACCCCTCTGAAGTATAGGACACAGCAGCCTGTAACTCTGGGAGTTCATATTTCCGTTCCCAACCAGTTTCAGTACTTCAGCTACAGTAAAAAGAACCCTTGGAGTTTTGGGCGGACAGATAATGTCGGAAACTCGCTGCGGCAAAAAGCAAAATCTTTTTGTTGCAGAAGGTCCATCGTACGACAGAGAATAACTTGAGTATGCGAACAGAAGCATGCAACTATGGAGCAATACACAAAACAAAGTTCTTCATTTCAAGTAGCGACGAATTTTTTGCGTATTAGAATAAGAATGTCAGGAAAAGCATTAGTCGCTGGGGGTTTGACCTAGAGTACAGGTTTACGTTGATGTTAGTGTTATGGTCATGGCCTAAGTTATGGTTGAATTAGGGTTAGGAGTATTTTTTGGATTGGGATTAGGGTTAAAGTCAAGATTTTGCTAGGCCTAGAGTTATGTTTAAGTTTGGCACTGGGAAAGAAGGTACGGTTTGGATTATTTTAGAGTTATGATTAAAGTGGGGTCGGTGTTAAGGCTGGAACCTAAACTAAGGTTATGGTTAGGGTTGCGGTTAAGTTTAGGGCTTGGTTAAGGTGAGGGTTACGGTTAACTTTAGGGCCAGGGTTAAGCCGAGGGCCAATCATAGTGGTAGAGTTAAGACTGTCTAGGGAATTAAGTTAGGGTTAAGTTAAGCACTAGGATTAAGGCTGTGGTTAGGGTTATTTTTAGGGTTAGGAGTGGGTTAATATTTTTTGGGACAGGTACGCTTCTTCATATTTAACGCAGGGTCGCCTGCATTTCCCGGCCTTCTAATTCCCGTGTATTAACAATATTTCCGATCATGAGGGGTTGACCTTAATAAAACTGTTTATTGAAAAAAAAACGTACAAAGCCTGTTAGCACAAGCTTGTGGACCTTGGCAAAGGAATCTGAAGGCCTGTGGTTCACGCTACATCGTACTGTTACTTTTTACACTGACTGTCAAAAAGCGTCGTCCCTGCCTAAGTGGCCCTAAACTCTACCGCTCTTTCAAGTGGCAACATGCTTGGCGGGATGAGCTTCAAATAGCAAGAGATGTGTTATGCTTGAGATGGCGTCATTCCGTAAAAGATCAGAGAGTTTTCACCAAGTCCATTATCATGCTGTTAAGTTCAGACTAGAATTGGCTAAGGCGCTAGACACTGAATTGAAATATCACAAACACGATTTTAGGTAAAATATGCCCTACTCGTCCCCGCAAAATGCAGATGATCTGTTAGAATTGGGCCGCGGATGAAGGTAATTTCAGCGTGTGGTTACATTAAAAATCGAACTTTTTAATGATATGCCTGAAAGATCGATATTGCTTTGTCAGTGCTGTTAATGGGTCGACACCACGTCTTGGTTGCTTGCCACCTCTTCCATTTTTTTTGGGATTTGTGTTCATGGCGTCCAAATTGATGTGTCGATTAATGCATGAATCATCAGAGTGAGTGGCCTCCAGGAATTCTCAGCCTTTCTTATGTAGGGAAAAACCGTTGATAAAGTGTTTAAAAGTCATGTAGAAAAGAAACAACTACCAGGAGAATTTACGAAATCCCTTAGACAAACTAGGCCGACATTTGTCAAAATCAGCTGAACAGCGGAAGCTCACAAACCCAACATATCACT